TATTTCACGACGAAAAAAAATGCATGCACGAACCTCTTTGTATAAAAATGTCACAAACGTTTTGCTTGATTAAGAAATACATATTTTATTCACAATGCATTTCCACCTCGGATTAATTTATTTCAATACAAGATTGGGAAGTGTTTTTTTGTCCAAACGAGGTAAGTAACCCCCAAAAATAATGAGTAAAATGACAACATTCAAATACATCTGCAACAGACAAGGGGCTTCGCTTCTATACCAGCAACAAGACCAAAAGTTGACCTTCATTCGTGCACGTTGTAACAATGGGGAACTACAAGTTTTCGGGGGGATCACAACAAGTATTTTACAAGCTCAAAAATGATTTTAAATACACTAGCAATGATTTTGTAACTGGGATATACAGTCATTGGAAACACTTTACAATATTTTATTATACACATACACATTTTGTTATATTTTAAAGTAACAGTTCTTTTGCACCAAGTGCATGCAAGAAAAATAAAATAAGTTTTTTCCCCCCCTTAGTCGGCAACTGACTAAGACGTATTAAGAACAGGCCTGGAATACACACCTTGGTAGTAAGAGGCCTCTAAAGCCGAAGGGTCCATGCTGGCTCTCCCGGCCATGGGCAAGCTGGAAGACATCCCTGAGCCATAGGAGGAATATTGCAACGCTTGTTCATAGGCTTTCAATTCCAGTTTATGCTGTTGCTCTGAAGACGACATTAAATTATTGATGGAAAACGGGTGGTTGAAGGAGTAATGAGGGTCTCCTTTGAGGTGCAGCTGGGGTTCGTGGGCCATAGAGTGCAGCGAGGACAGGGACGTGGACACCGAGTGCACCTGTGGGCCGGTGCTCTTCAGTTCAGAGTTAGCGGTGCTACCGCTCCTGTGGTCCAAACTGGGAGGACTGGACGACTGGTTCGAAGAGGTTATGGAGCTGGAGTCCATATGCACAGGTTTGCTGCTGGTGCTGTCACTGGCCGGTGAGCCAGAGCCGCTCGAGTGCTCTCTCTTTCCGTCGGACCTCTTTCCGTCGGGCAACTTTTTGTCGCATTTAAAGCGCTTCTGTCTTCGCAGGTAACAGCCGTTCTCGAACATATTCCCAGAATCTGGATGCAGGGCCCAGTAGGAGCCTTTTCCCGGCTTGTCGGGTGACCTGGACACTTTGACGAAACAGTCGTTGAAGGACAACGAGTGCCTGATGGAGTTCTGCCACCGTTGCTGGTTCTGACGGTAGTAGGGGAACAGGTCCATTATCCACTGGTAAATCTCACTCAAGGTAAGCATTTTGCTGGGTGCCTGCTGGATGGCCATAGTGATGAGGGAGATGTAGGAGTAGGGCGGTTTGGCGTGCGGGTAACTTCTCCTGAAGGTCTTGTTGTCTCTGGCCCGGTTGAGGTTGGGTTGCGCGTAAGTCATGGAGCTCATGGTGGGGCTCATGCTGGAGTAGGGGTTCAGCGCGTTCATGGAGCTGTGCTGAGCCGTCATGGCGTTCAGGTTGGACGGGCTGAGCGCGGTGCCCATGCTCGACACGCCGCCGCCCATCCCGTTCATGTGGCCGGTGGCTCCCGGGGGCATCCCGGCCATGGTGCCCGGGCTCAGACCGGCACTCAGCGCTGGGTTCGCATAGGACATGTTAAAAGAACTGGAAGTCATATTCCCACTGGTGGACATGCTCATGTAACTGTTCATATTATTCATGGAGCTCAGCCCAGCGTTCATGCTGCTGTTCGTCATGGGAGAATAGACCTAAAAGAAAGAAAGAAATCGTAATTCAGCACTTTTATTCGTATAGAGTGTAGTAATTTAGCATAGTTTCTCTTAAACAATAATGTAGCCTAGTTTCCCCTCTATTTTATTTTATAAAACACAAGTACATAAAAAAATAATTCAATATTGAAAAAAAAAATCAGGCTAACACCATTAAAAATTGTGAGAACATACATTTGAATTTTTAATCTAAATGTAACGTTCTTTTTAAAATAACGAAATGTTAAATGTGGATTTGCTGATGCACGTGGCAGTAAAAAAATATAAACGTAGGACTTTATTGCGTTTAATTAAATGTCAAATTGAACGAGGCAAAATAAAATCTTGTAATGGAAATTTGTGACATGTAGGCTATACATAATCGATAATAAATTGAATAAAAATAGCTTAGTCAGATAACAATTTCAGAAAATAATATTTGATAAACTCTTCCAAGACTATTGTGACTATATTGTCACTTGCAATGGCATCACTACTGCCACCAAGTGGGTTAATCAATGGCTGATATTTTGATCAGCTTCAGACAACAATTCTGCAGAATATGTATTTTACATGTAATTCCTCCGTTTTAAAAGTGTTTTTAAGCGTGAGCCTCAGTTTGAGTCTGCTGATCCATAATTCGCGTGCATGCAGCTACAAACTTTCTGACTATCCCAGCAGCTCAGAGTGGCAGAAATAATAATAGTCTCTCACCTCTTGTGCATCATTATAGTAGCTGCTCCAGTCTGGAGTTTCGTGTCCTTCCATTTTCACTGCGCCTAACATTATGGAGGAAATTCGCAGCTCGTGCACATGCAGTTCCAGACTCTCAGCGCGCGCGTGAGTGAGAGTGTGTGTGTGCGTGTGCGTCCTGGCACCGCGCGCAGTCACTGGTGGGATGTTGTGCGTGGCTTTGGGTAAAGTGAGGAAATGTTGGGACCGAACTGGAGATCTTCCCCTGCCTGTTACGTAGAACACAGTACAGCCCACTTTCTGTCTCATTTGCCTGGATCTCTCTCCTGCTTCCAGGAACACGTCTACTCTGCTGCTGTTTTTAAATAGGAATGACCCGTGTGTTTTATTGCTCAATACTATTACCTGTAAAATCATCTTTTAATTTAAGCTCTATTAGAAATAAACACATTATGATGAATAATATTGAATATCCGATATATTTTTGCCACATTATAGCCTATTTTTAATTTTATTTTAAATTGTTTTAAATTTTAAATTTGTTATTTTTCTTCTTTTTTTCAAAATAATGTTTGGACTTTTTTTGATTAATTAATCCAGCATTATAATCTTACAGGCTTATAAAAAACAAGTGTTTATGAATTCAAATGAAGTGAGTGATCTTGTAAAGTGCAATATAATTAATGTAATATATAGTATGTAACATATTAAGTTATATCTTTCAGCAATTTTTAGCAAACATTATGTAATGATAACATGTTCCTACAAAAATATGAATTGTGACATTTCTAAATAGGCCTTCTTGAATATAGCCTATAAATACATGATCCATGTTGTGATACTATATTTATATTATTCATGAACGATATTACATTTAACGTGAAATTTTAACATATTCTTTCTAATCCATAAGTTATAATAAAGTGTTATCAAATTATCACAAAAAATATGTGGATGCTGTATATGAAGAGTTCAGATGCAAAAGCCTCTAAATGCCATTTGAAATTTTCTTCTTTAATGATAATTTTTATCAAACTTGTATATTTAAGTTCAGTAATTTCACTTAAAAAACAATTAATAGGTAATTATTATTGCCATTTAAGTGAAATTACTGAACTTAAATATACAAGTTTGATAAAAATTATCATTAAAGAAGAAAATTTCAAATGGCATTTAGAGGCTTTTGCATCTGAACTCTTCATATTTAAATATCAAAATGTATGACCATATATGAATTCTGTCATAACTAGGCCTGTTTGAACAGTTTATTTAAATAATAGGCTATACTTAACAAATCATGTAGCCTATTTCATTGTATGATAAAATGCTGTCACCAAGAAGCTTCACAGAATAGCAGAAGAAACCAACTTGCAACAACTTTACAGCATATTCATTTTGGTACTGAAGCTAGGTGTTTAGGAAGGAACTGGAAACCCCACCATCTCTCTCCTTTTATTTCTCAAATGAACAAGAGTTCACATTTCCCAGTGTACACCTGCTAATGAGCGAATGACAGCACTGATCATCCACTTACAGCGGATTATCTCCAGTGATCTCTCACACCATTAGAGCACAGATCGATTCCTCACAGGACGGAGGGAAATGACCCTTGAAGCAAAGAACATTAGACCATGTCAAAGCCCCCATGAGACAGCCAGAGAGAGAGAGAGAGGCAGAGGGAGAGAGAGGTAGAGGGAGCAATAGCGATGGTATCAGGACTGTCTTGTCAGTATAGATTTAATGCATGATTTATAAAATAATAGGCCTTAAAGCCACCTGCTTTATATGTTTGCTTTAGCAAACAGTGCATTGCATTAGATAGGCCTGTTATGTTATACTGAAAATCGTTTTTTGTGTGCAGCAATTTTGTGTTCTTATCAAAAATAAAATGGCAAGGTGGAGATAACTTTGTAGCCTAATCTCTTTGGAGACAATAAAGGTTATCAGATCAGTATTTTAAAGTACCGGCAGGTTTGGTTTTCTTGAGAAATAGAGAATTAAAAGTACTTTTTGGGATTTTAAAATCATAATGTAATTAGAATTTTAGAATTAGAATTATTTTGAACGCACATTTAACTTCTTAAATCTTATTTTTCTATTCTGTGATTGTGTGTAAATAGAAAGGCATCTTTGCACTATAGCTCACCATGATACCATTTCAGTTTGTTTGCAAATCTGAACGTTTGAGTTCATTCTTTTATTGCATCAATTGCTTCATGAAGAACCTTTAACATTCATGGAACCTTTCCATTCCACAGACAAAAAGGTTTAAAGGGGTTCTTAGATTTTTAGAATGTTCTTCGCACTAAGGGGGGAATTATTATTTTAAGAACTGTCCACTGAAGGGTTTTTGGGGGGACGAAAATGGTTCTTCAATGCATTGACACCTTTGGGACCTTTATTTTAAAAGTGTGGTTGAAGGGTTTTCTTGTCGTTCTAGCAGCCAGTCAGTGCTATATGCTTTAAAAATAACAATTATTAACATCAAGATAATTATCTAAGTTACTTGGTCATGATCTTATTGTGCAGATTTTCACTCGCAGCCCTGGCACGCGCATGGGGACGTCCGGTTGCTATGAGACGCTGCATGGCGTTTCTCTGTTTGAGTTTCTGAGGTAAAAAGCTGCAGTTATTTTTCAGCAAATAGTTAGTACAATTTTATTTGAAGTAGATTTTCAGACGGAAATACATCAATTAAAGGGTAAGGTGCTTTTAAAGAGTACTCTTTTAATTATATATTCAGATTTATTGTGTCACAGCACGAAAAGAGCAACTTTTGAGCATGCGGGCTAAGTTAGCTGGCTAACTATTAGCGTTCATAGCTTTTAAAACTGTAAAACTGCAGTTTCTGTTCTTTTGAAACTATTTATGCAGCGAGAATGATTATTTCATGGGAGTCAGAAAAAGAAAATGAGGATAAATAATAAAACATTGCAAAATAGCTCGAACTGAACTGTTGGACAAAATCATATAAAAATTATTTAAAAATTGTTTTGCATTATAACTCTTATTTTTTTTTTTTTTACCAGTCTCGACTTAAATGTTATTGCTCATTTATTAAATGAGGCAACAACACGTATTTCTTCTAATTTTAAACGCATTTGTTTTTAATGTGATAAGTTAACGTTAGCCTAATAAAATACATTTGCTGGTTTAACTTTAAAAAAGTAGCCTAAGTTGTCTGGTTCATTGAAATTAAAGATTTAAGTTAATACAATGAAGATTGGTTTAATAAATATAAACATGATGTTTTTTGAACAACTAAGTTGATTTGACAAAAAAGAAAAAGTCTTGATAGCAAATAATGAAAATATTTTTTTTCTGTTGTTTTTCCTGGATTTCCAGTTTACGAAAGACGTATGAATCCAACCAGAGAAGACTTCTTCCTTACCTTACCAGGTAAGACCTGTCATCACAGATTTACCTCCCATTTTGACAAAACCCAGCTGTGTTGAGTCTCAAATAGACTTTCACTTTTCCTCTCCTCTGCAAACTGCCCCCTAAATCCATGTCTCAACAAAGACCAACAAAATGAGCCGGGGTCAGAGCACAAGCCCAAACATTTCCTCCATTGACAAATCCGTGAACACAATGGCTCTTCCAAAACTTAAAGCCAGGCATGGGATTGTCAGAAAGCCAGTCATAGCCTCTCTCGCAGGGACCACCAAAGCAGTATCCTTCTCCCAAAGGCCCCAACCTCCTGCTAAGCCCAGATCAGAGTGGCCCTTATCAGCAGGTGGATCTTACACACTTCACACACTTGCTCAGCTGGTCTCAGGTGAGGAGAAGAAAACCTCCAGCGCTCACCAGTCCACTATCTGTGAAAGACAGAACCGGCGGGACTCGGGCAGCTCTAATGACAATGAGGCATCAAGCTCTGTGAATTCAGCACAGCATGGGCATATAGGAGTGCAGACAGGAAAGACTGAACAATTCTGGGAGCCTCATGAGCATCAAACTCTCTCCAAACACAGCAGCTCCCAGAGTCACACCAGCAGCGCTGGCTCCAGCACCATCCAAAGTGTCAAATCCACCTCTGATCTGTTGGAGGAAGCCAGAACTATTGCTGGACTCCAGCCGCCAGATGATGTTGACCAGCAGAGGGCGCCAGATGAGAGCTTGGCAGACACAGACACATTAGTGATGGAAAGTGGGCACATACCTGTAGTAGAGGATGACAGTGGTGCAACTTTCTCTGACCAAGCTGGAAACAACTGCAGCTCTGATGATGAGGTTAGCTGTTTTTTTTTTTTTTTTTTTTTTTTTTTGTGAGTTTGTTTTTATATTTTGTTGTGTTTTGTTAATATTGAACACAGCTGCGGCTTTGATGATGAGGTTAGCATTTTATTTATTTATTTATTTATTTATTTATTTATTTATTTATTTTTTATTTGGAAAGAGAAGTTGGACACAGCTACTTTCATTATTTTATTATTTATTCATTTATTATTAGCTGCTAAGCAACAAAGGTGCATATACTGTGTGTGTATATACATATATATATATATATATATATATATATATATATATATAAATATACAAAATACCATATCTAATAAATAATAATCAAAACATTGTATTAGTTTATTACATAGAGTATTTAAATTCACTATAAACATATTTTTAAGCTCTACTGTAAGTGTCATTTTACATGAAAATACATTTTGATTGTATCTATATATAAATGTGCTCTTAATAGTGGATAAGACACATGCCTTTGGTGTGAGAGACCCGGGTTCGAATCCACTGTGAGACACCAATGTGTCCCTGAGCAAGTCACTTAACCCCTAGTTGCTCCAGAGCTGTGCGACCACTGACTTATATAGCAATTGTAAGTCGCTTTGGATAAAAGCGTCAGCTAAATGAATAAATGTAAATGTAGCTGTTAAAAAAAAAAAGGCTCTGCTCTATGGTTAGTTCAGACTGGTGCACAATTCTTCTTCTTCTTCTTGTTCTTCGTCTTCATCATGGTCTTCTGCTCTTCACCCTGTAAAACAACTTGTGGGAAAATTATGAAATTTGGCACATAGATAGAGGACAGTATTAAAGTCAAGTCGTCTTTATTTTTATAGCGCTTTATACAATACAGATAGTTTTAAAGCAACTTTACAGTGATAAACAGGAAAAAATGATTCAATGATGCAAACATAATTCAATACTGCAGTTCTAAAAAGAAAGAAAAGAGTAAATCAGCTGACGTCAATTTGTTCAGTGTTGAACCAGCTCCATTCTAAATATAATCAGTTATTAAATTACAGTCGTTCAATTCAGCTTTAAAGCAGATCTACAGAAAAAAAAGTGATATCATTATCCAGCTCAGTTCAGTTCTCATCCAATATTGTCAGTGCAGTCATGTCAATAATATTATTGATTATTAAGTGTCCCCAATTAAGCAAGTCAGAGGCAACAGTGGCAAGGAAGCCAAAAACCATAAGGTGACAGAATAGGATTTTTTTTTTGGTAGAGACCAAGCTCAGTCGGTTAACAAGTTCTGCTCTGGTTAAACTGAGCATCTTGGGCCCTGTCCCAAATGGCACCCCAAGCATTAGCGGTCTTCAGAGTTCGTACTTTTGTGATGTAACGCTGCTTTGACTGCTGGGAAGAAGTCTACTGTAGAGTTTGCTTCAGTGCGGGTTTGGCAAAAGTGCGGTTTGAGGGCGTATATCAACCGCAAAGGGGGCGCTTGTGAGAACCCTTCTGAAACCTAATATGACAAATGGGACAGCATATTTTGTATCTAATGCAAAACATTCATTTTTTATGTGGCTTCAGTGTCCAAATACTTCTTGTTGCCACTGCATAGTTACTGTAACACAGTCTCATTCCAAGAAGTCATATAACTGACGTCTTGGGACGTATTTTGACCATACGTCAACATCCGCCTTTTTAGGGTGCCCTTAAAGGATTAGTTCACTTTTGAAAAAACTTTTGCTGTTAATTTACTCACCCCCATTTCATCCAAGATGTCTATGTCTTTCTTTCCTCAGTCAAAAAAAAATTTAGGTTTTTGATGAAAACATTCCAGGATTTTTCTCCATATAATGGACTTCAATGGGAACCGGATGGTTCAAGGTCCAAAAGACAGTTAATAACTGTTTCAGATGCAGCTTCAAATGTCTTTAAACGATATCAGACGATGAATAAGGGTCTTATCATGCGAAACGATCGGTTATTTCAAAACTTATTCCAAAAATTAAACTTTTCTAAGGACAAATGCTAGCCTTGCTCTATTCTGTGAGGCGCGTTTGCAACGTCACGTATTACGTAATTACGTTCAAAAGGTCACGGGTGACGTAGCCGAAAGTACAGAGTCAGTGTTTACAAGTTGAACGCATAGGTTGAACGTGCAAACTAGCTCAAACACCGTTAACAAAAAAAGGAATTAAAAGGAAAAACAACGATGTCGGACGATTTTGATTCTGTACTTCCGGCTACGTCGCCCGTGACCTTTTGAACGTAATTACGTATTACATGACGTTACAAACGCGCTTCAGAGAATATAGCAAGGCTAGCATTTGTCCTTAAAAAAGTTACATTTTTGGAATAAGTTTTGAAATAACCGATCGTTTCGCATGATAAGACCCTTATTCATCGTCTGGTGTCGTTTAAAGACATTTGAAGCTGCATCTGAAACTGTTATTAACACTATCTTTTGGACCTTGAACCATCCGGTTCCCATTGAAGTCCATTATATGGCGAAAAATCCTGGAATGTTTTCATCAAAAACCTAAATTTCTTTTCGAATGAGGAAAGAAAGACATGGACATCTTGGATGACATGAGGGTGAGTAAATTATCAGCAAAAGTTTTTTCAAAAGTGAACTAATCCTTTAAATGTCGGTTACATGACGATCCCGGGCCGTCATACAACTGACGCTTTACCTTTAACGTCGGTTAGGTGACGGGGTAGGTTTAGGGGTAGGTTTAGGTCTGGGGTAGGGTTAGGATCCGATAACGTCATCTAACCGACGTTTAAGGGTACCCTAAAAAGGCGGATGTTGACGTATGGTCAAAAGACGTCCCAAGACGTCAGTTATGTGATGTACAGTATATCTCTTTCATTGACATATTGCATGCAAGATTACCCAAACAGTGTCAAAGCATAAATCTTTCATCTGAATCACTGCGATAGAACATTACACGTAACACAACAGTAAAATAATAAAAAGAGGGTAGCTGTCAGTTTTAGAAACCCCAGAGGCAACAAAGGAGCAACACTTGTTTGCTCTTCAAGGTGAGCTTGTGGCGACAATATATTGTATGAAGAGTCATTGCAGTGAGGAATTTTGTAGCATTTCCTATTAGTACATCTTGATGGGTAAAGTCATAGGCTTGGTATGACAATTGTGTTGATGGAGTGCTCATGTGTATTTTCCTTCAGGGGCCGACTCAAAGGGACACATCTGTACCGCATGTCTATCTGCCAAAAAAACGTTCCCCAAGACCAATGTGCCATCCATCTGTGTCATCTGGTGTCTACAAAATGGCTGAGTCAGTTTTACAGAAGGACTCTGAGTTTGGCTCTGATGGTGGAGGACACAAGGATCTGTTATCCCAGGTAAACGCACTACACACTAAGTTTGTTTTCTAAGAACTTTTTGATAATTATGAGCAAAATTACAGATTATTAGATTAAATACATGAATGTTGCCACAATCTATTTTTTTTAATATATATTTTTAAGGTGACCAATGAAGATATAATAATGGCCCATGGATATAGCTTGACTCCGATTCAGAGGGCTGAAAGGACATCCCGTCAGACCAAAACCATTCGAACCATTCAAGGCCTGTCACTACTTGCAACCTGGACACCTAAAAAAGAGTATAAAAGATCTAAAATATGACACTCAAGCCATACTTATTAAATGCATTTAGTTGCATTCAATAAACTATCATAGAAAATATAATTTGTTCTTAAACGAAGCAGGATCTTTATTTTTTATCATTGACATTTTGATGATTTTTAGTGTACATAGGCGTCCCCACAGGTATAGTTCATCACATTAACTATGAACATATTCCACTAACCTATACAAGCACATTGCATCATTTAAAACCTAACAAATACATTTTTTTGTGAAAATATGCTAATGCTATCCTTTGTAAAAAAAATAAATAAAAAAATAAAAATAAAATTATTATTATTATTATTATTACTCAATATAGAAATATACTTCACATTCGGTTTGGACAAAGTACATTCTATTAATGTTTTCTGACCATTAATAGCATGTAATAATTAAATTAAAATGTATCATAGATAAACTTTTAAATTAAATAAATTTTTTCTAAAACACTTTTCCTCAAATTAGTTTAAACTGTCTTTATATACCTACTCTGAAAAGGTGAGTATAAAAATCGAGTGTCTGTAGTCCTCTCAGGGCTACAATAAACACAGCTACTTATTCCATTCGGAATTAATTAAATGATTGGCTGGGCGACTGTCACTCTCCCTCGCTACCATGGCTACCACCCCTGCTGCTACAGGACCTGCACGGATGCACTCGGTTGACCAGCTCGTTACCGAATCAAACTCAATAGGAGCTGGACGTGTTTACCAGCGCCGAGCGGAGAGGAGTACAGCGCATGTAGTGACATCATGTCAGAATCTGTAACTACTTAACTTTATCATTATGAATATAAACAACTAACATGGCTCTTAGTACTCACTATCAAGCTAGCATATCGATACTAGTAAAGTTTAAAATATATTGAGTTTGATTAGGTAACGCGCTAGTAACCTAACAAGGCAAAGCTAAAAACAGGTTGCATTGATACACGTTTTCCCGTTACCATCAGTTTCACTGTGATGAAGGTGAGTTTCGTGTAAGATTCATAACATATACAGTGTTTTACATGTAAAAGCTTCCACGATGAGAGCCTCTCCTCTTCCGAAATGAGCTAGTCAACCGAGTGCGCGCATGTGGGCAGGTGCTGTAGCAGAAACGGTAGCGAGGGAGAGTGACAGTCACCTAGCCAATCATTTCATTCGTTCAGAATGGAATAAGTAACTGTGTTTATTGCAGCCCTGAGAGGACTATTAGACATTCGATTTTTATACTCTCCTTTTCAGAGTACTTACATTTCGAATATGTATTGGTAAATAAAGACCGTTTAAACAAATTTGGGGAGAAGTGTTTTAGAAAAAACCTGCCTACCCTGCCTTTAAATGCAGTTAGTTGACCTAAATATACATTAAAATAAACATATTTTAAAGCATCACAATAGATTATGAAAACATAATGATTTGTAATACACTTTAATTTTAATGCACTTTAAAGTAAAACAAATTAAAAGTAAACATTAAATGTGCAAGTACTTTGCAAAGCAATCATGAAAGTGTACTCTCTTTAAGTACACTTAAGTGGCATTCTGTACAGTTTTAAGAATATATATATACTACAAGTACACATTCAACACAATTAAGCACATTTCTTTTGGTCATGGTCCTTTCAAATTGATGTAGTTTCGATGATTTGCATACAACACAATGGCATTCAGAAATTTTTAAGTAAGACGTCAATGTCCAAATACTTTTGAGGCTGCTATATACTTAGTTCTATGCATCATGACTAATCTATGTGTTGATATATTGGCATGTTCCACTTGCTATCAGCATGTCAATCTCTCAACGCGTCACTAGCGGAAGAGCGCAGAGGGTGGCCTTGGGCCCAAATGATCATCTAGTTTCACGCTACCTGAGAAGAGCGTCCAAAAGCTGTCATCAGCTCCCCCTCAGCTCTATTTAGGGAGCAGTAACACAGCGAGTAATTGCCCCGTCACTTACTCCACTCATCTGTGCTGCGGGTCTGTCTGGAGCCAGCGCACCCACGCATCCCTCCTCCCAACCTCTCCAGCACTCACCTGAGAGCTGATAACGCAAGATTTACTACCTGCACGGCTGGACTCGCGCCACTCCCTCGCTCTTGAAAAAGGCCCTTTTAATTACTAGCTTTTTCCAGTCACGAGGGTCACTGAAAGGTTCCTGTTGGACGCGGTTGAGAGGGTTTATATGAGAGCCGCCTGCCTACGGGGTAGATGGATAGCGGGGCAGGTTGAAGGTTCCTCCTTGCGGTTCAGGAATGTTTCTGTTCAGCGCAGGTAGGGCCAGTGACTTTGGTGTGACCTTCTAGGTCTTTCGTTGAGGCTTAACCGTGCCAGAGTGGGGTGATAAATCTAGCTTGTCACGGGCCTTAGTGAACGAAACGTACCCAATAAATTGGCGCTGTCAGTGGAGCCGTGGGGACGTGGGTGGCGGAGGGCCTCTCCTGCCTGTCTGCAGTTCGCGGAACACAAAGAGCCCACACACAAAGTCAGTTCTGAGGTCGTTTCTCCCGCTGTCTACAGTTCAAACAGTGGTGTGAAGTTATGGCAGAGACGATCTGTGCAAATAGACTGACGCATCATCTTTTTATGGCAGAACATAGGGCCTATATCACATCGACTTGGCACCCAAAATGGTTTACGTTTGAGGTCCAAGAAATGTTCCCGTGAGACCCTAATATTAGATTGATAGACATGTCAGTAATGAAAAAGTGTGAGACCACTGATGAAAAGGCTTCTATTTTTATTTTATTTATTATTATTCTGATTCTGATTCAGAAAACCTAAGATGCCATGCCATATGAATGTCTGTCTTGTTTTCTTCTGATCACATGATCATGAACACTTAACTGTACATAACTCAGCATTATCTCGTCAGCCACGAACCATGATATATACGTTTGGGGTTGGGAAGATATTTTAATGTTTTTGAAAGAAGTCTCTTACGCCTACCAAGGCTGCATTTATTTGACCATTCAATAAAACAGTAAAAATGGTACTGTAACAATTTAAAGTCACTGTTAAAATGTAATTTATTCCTGTGACGCAAAGCTGAATTTTCAGAATTATTACTCCAGTCTTCAGTGTCACATGATCCTTCAGAAATCATTCTAATATGATGGTTTGCTGCTTAAGAAACGTTTCTTATTATTATCAATGTTGAAAACCGTTGTGCTGCTTAATATTTTTGTGGAAACTGGTAATTTGAAGAACAGAAAGGAAAAAAAAATCTGTATTTGTTTAAAATAGAATTATTTTGTAACATTATAAATGTCTTTACTGTCAGTTCAATTTTATATATATATATATATATATATACAACTACCGGTCAAAAGTTTTAGATCGGTAAGATTTTTTTATGTTTTTAAAAGAAGTCTCTTCTGCTCACCAAAACTGTAATTATTTGATAAAAAATACAAAAAACACAGTAATATTGTGAAATATTATTACAATTTAAAACACTGGTTTTCTATGTGAATATATAGTGAAGTGTAATTTATTCCTGTGATCAAAGCTGAATTTTACAACATCATTACTCCAGTCTTCAGTGTCACATGATCCTACAGAAATTATTATAATATGATGCTCAAGAAACATTTTATTATCCATGTTGAAAACAGGTTTTTTTTTTTTTTACATTTTTATTTCAGGATTGTTTTATGAATAGAAAGTTCAAAAGAACAGAACTGATCTGAAATGGAAAGCTTTTTGTAACATTAATCACTACCATTCAAAAGTTTGGGGTCAGTAAGAATTTATTTTTTTTATTTTTTGGGGGAAAGAAATTAGAAAATACTTTTATTTATCAAGGATGAGTTAAATTGATCAAAAGTTACAGTAAAGACATGTATAATGTTAGAAAAGATTATATTTTAAATAAATGCTGTTCTTTTGAACTTTCTATTCATCATAGAATTTTGGGGGGGAAATGGTACACGACTGTTTTCAACATTTAAAAAATAATCATTTATGCTTTTTGAGCATAAAATCAGCATATTAGAATGATTTCTGAATGATCATGTGACACTGAAAACTGATGTGTAATCAGCAACAATAATGATGTTGAAAAATTAGCTTTCAAATTACATTTTAAAATATATTAAAATAGAAAACAGTCATTTTAAATTGTCATAATATTTCACAATATTACTGTTTGTCATTTTTTCATCAAATAATGCAGCCTTGGTGAGCTGAAGAAACTTCATTTAACACATAAAAAATCTTACTGATCTAAAACTTTTGACCGGTAGTGAATATATACATAAAAAACAGTAGTAAAGCATTACACCTTAGGTTTTCTGTATTTTAAAGAAAATCAAATAAAAAATGTTTCCCTCTGATTGTTTGTTCTGTCAAACAAACACACAGTGCAGAGGGCTATAAAACCATCCACCATTGGTGTACCACTCCTGCCAGTCAAGTCGTGCCTGTTGAGCTCCAACTTGCTTCTAAAATCTGCCACACTCAAAAACTGATCCCTGCAACAGCACAGTTTAACCAGCAGAGGGAAGCACTTGGACATATATCTATACATCCTGACATACAGAGGTATAAGCCTGGCTCTTTTTATTTCTATTAGAGTGATTCTCATTAAAGCTCATTGATTATAAATTCAGGTCACTATTTATAATCTGACTCGTTTAAACTCTTCACCTGTTTGAGTCCCTCTTAAAATGTATTTCTGTCGTGATGGCGTATCATTAATGCTGTAATACTCATTGTAGGCTGGTGTGTGAAGGTGTTCCTGTTGATTCTACTGGGGTTTCAGCACAGACAGACTGTGCTTCCCACATACCTAAACAGACGTCAGATATTCTGGAGGACTGGCAGAAAATAGCTGATTATTACGTGGAGAGACCAAGGATTATGATGTGTGGACATGCTGTAAGAAAAATCTATTGTTTTATGACTCACCGGCAGTGACTTTCATCAAAGTGACTAGTGACAACTCAATCTTTTTAAAAACAAGGCTCTGGTTTTAAGGAAGTACATGAAAACAGAGGCTGTGATTTATGATTAGATAATTATGATATTCAGTGCATTATCAAATATGTAATAAACTATTAGTTAAAACTGACTTTTTATGTCTGTGATCTTCCTTGAATAGTTTATATATAAAACTATAATACAGTTTTAAACAGTTGTTTGTTGTTTCAAACACCTAATAAACCTGGGGTGTTTGTCCCAGGGTACTGGAAATATTTGGTCACTAGATGGCATTAGACGCACATTATTTTTCCCAATAGAATTAACGGATGAAAGAAAGATTTTCATATTTTTTATTGTTCAAGCTGGGTCATTAAATGTAGACTGTTGAATAAATTTCACTTTAGGCCACCTGAATTATTTGATAACAGCTCCTTCCAACATCCAATTATTGTATTCATTTCTCATAGGCAACACTGTGTCCCTTTGAGCTCAGAATGTTCTGGAACCCAGCACCTCCTAAATTCATCTGTGCTCCCTGTGTTATGAAAGACACACTTTTCCCCAAATACCAGGTACAGAAGCACCATTACCAGAGAGAAATCTGTTTCCTTCTCAGTGTGCTTTTTTTCTGCAGAAATCACTGCATGCCTCCCCCATCATCTGCCTGCTTTAACACTGTATTTAGAGAAGAGCCTATAGCAGCTCTATTTCTCTCTGTTAGCATCTTGATTTGAATACAATTCTCTTGTAAGCTCATAATATAAGAAAAACTTTATAAAATAAAGAGCATGGCGAAAATTATGCGCGTGGTATTAACGTCTGTAATTCACATGAATTATAGTTATTACTATTGCCTCAAAGATATTTCCTTTTAGCTTGTTCATGCTGGTAATATTAAATTCCTTATGTTACCTTCTAATATGAAAAAATGCTAGCATAAAAAGTGAATTCCAATGTAATACATTTTTAAGCAAGTTTTTCTTTATTACATTTTGTGTCCTTAGGTAACTCAGCCAGACCTGTGCAAAGAGAATCTGTTGAATCTTTTGGACGAGCACCACGTGGCGGAGACAGTTAACCATGTGATGAATGCAGAACAGATTACTTCTGAGGTCTGTTTATTGAATTAACCTTAAATTAGTTTAAGGTGAAAATTCTCCAAATTCCTGTATGTAGCATACTTATGTTATGTAACACCATGCAGCTCTTTATGAACACGATATTCTGATATATATATATATATATATATATATATGAAGAGTTCAGATGCAAAAGCCTCTAAGTGCCATTTGAGATTTTCTTCTAGAATGATAATTTTTATCAAGCTTGTATATTTAAGTTCAGTGATTTCACTTAAATGGCAATGATAATTACCTATTAATTGTTATTTAAGTGAAATTACTGAACTTAAATATACAAGTTTGATAAAAATCATCATTAAAGAAGAAAATTTCAAATGGCATTTAGAGGCTTTTGCATATGAACTCTTCATATATATGTATATATATTATTATTAGTGTTTTATTATTAGTGTAGTGTTTCAATGTAATTTCAATACCATTGAAAGTTTGGGGTCAGTCAGATTTTTTTTTTTTTTTATTAAGACTTCATATGTCACCACTGGTTGCAAATGAAGTTGAAACTGGATCAAAATGCAGCAGTTTTCAAAATGTATTTTAACTGAACTCAGGGTACTCAAGACAGAGAACAGAACAACCACATAAAAGCAACAATAACGGACAACTGAAATAAACTAAACACAGGGCTTAAATATACACTAATCAAAAAAATTAGACACAGCTGCACATAATAATCAGTCAATGAATAACCAACGTAACTAACAGGAAATTGAACCAAATGTGAAAAACCAAAACATACAAAGAGCAGATAACACGTACCATATATATGTGTGTGTGTGTGTGTGTGTGTGTTTATTTATTTTTTAAATACACAAATAATATATATATATATATATATATATATTATATATATATATAATTACATTTACATTTATTCATTTAGCTGACGCTTTTATCCAAAGCGACTTACAATTGCTACATATGTCAGAGGTGGCACGCCTCTGGAGCAACTAGGGGTTAAGTGTCTTGCTCAGAGATACACTGTACAGTATATGGGTCAGTGACGTTTTAGAATTTCAAAACAGTAAAAAAATAAAAATGAATGGACAAATCAAATATGGCATTTTTTGTGTAAATCTTTGTGTATATTTTTGTTTTTTATTAGTGCCCTTTAAAATAAAAAAAATAACAACATATGACATTTTAATGTTTCTTTGTATACAGTCCTTGAAAATGTCATAAGGTAACATATTGAACATATATATACATATATATACAGTAAAAATAGTAATATTATATAATATATACTCGGAGTTAAAGCAGTTATATTGTTAAGGAATATTATAATATTTGCATAATACATATTTGTATTGTTGAAAACAATTTATTTAGTTTTTGATGCAGTATATAATCTCACAATGCAGAACACTGCTTGAAATGTCATCTATATATTTATCATCTTACTGTACATAAAAAAGGAAGAAAACAAGATAAGAAAGATTTTGTTATTTGCATTCATGTCACTTCAGTGAGTTCTCAAGAGAGTTTTCAGAATACAATTGTGTTGGACATTCTCTAAAAATTTGGCCTTGTCCCCAGGAAAATGTCTCGCCTATTGAGTGTAAGTCTGTGGCAGACTTCAGAACAACAGCCTCACTGACTCTCTCTGGGTTCATCTCAACAGAACAGGTTAAAAACCTTTCCTTTTTTTGTTTGTTTGTTTGTTTGTTTGTTGAAGAATTATTTCATAAATTCCCAGTAATTTCTATTGGTTAGCCTTGTTTATTTTAATGTAAAGCTAGAGTCTCAGTAATATAACAACAGTAGCCTACTCTTTCCTGTTACTTTGGCTGTGGCATTTTAGCATTGAGAAATTTTGATATTCTTCCAAGACACCGTTCTGTGTTTATATTATATATAAGGTACCTAAAACCGTTTTTATTCTTTTTACTGTAATATTTGGAAACAAGCAGCTCAGTGCAACCAGAATTTCATCTCTTGCAATATCCTGTCTCCCCCCTGGGTTTCAGACCAGACGGCCTTGTTCTGCCCCGCACTTAACCCCAGATCTTGAGCCTCATCTTCAGCTGCAGTCTGACTTCACCAGCCTTTCCCAGGAGCTGGAGCATGTGCGGTGGCAGTGGCAGCAGAACACAATCTGTGCAGCTCTGGCCAGAGAATCCCCATCCAATGCCAAACAGGCAAAGCCCCAGGAGGTTCACACAGAGCCCAACTCATCAGAGTGGCCCCGCCAGACCCCAAACCACAGAAGGAACCCACACAAAGGCAAAGAGAGGGGAAGGGTATCCTGTTCCAAACGCAGGGCCACGAAGAGAGGAAAGACACGCAGCTCTGTTAAAACGGCATACTTTTGGAAAAAACTGAGAGAGCCACCAAGGACACTAACAAGGTTTTACTTTTGTTCCAAAAACAATTCCAAAACAAGACCAAAACATGAAATTGCATGTAAACCCATGACATAAAATATTTTCTCACAGCCTTTTTATGATGTAATGCATCTTGTATCTCATAAATATTCATCTTTCTTGAATTTTTGTAAGTCTGCTACATGTAATGTCTGCATTAATAATGTGTTTATCTTTTTTTTTTTAATCTAAAAGGAGCGAGTCTCTGTGTCAGATACCACGGGAGTCTAAAACTTCCAAAGGGCAAGTTTCACCCCGCCTCTGCCTCAGTCTGCCTATGCTCCTAGATTTTGAGAGCTTTGCCACAGATCGTGGTGGAATACCTGACACTACATCACCCAGAGAGTGGGTTAGAGACACATGGGACGCCTGGTTCGACGAGGTTTTTCCTCCTCTGGAAAATGTTCAGAGCTCAAGCTCTCTCCCTGCTGGTCTGGAGGAGAATCAGCTTCCACAGGACGAGATCCAGAATCTGGACAAAGTTGATGTGTCTGAGGTTTTGGACAATGGTCTCACTACAGCTGATTTGGAGCATGAAGTGGCCAAGCTGACCCAAACTTTGAATGAACGTGGAAACCACGGTGCCTTCGACCGGTGTCGACGTGGAGCGCTTTACATTAAACTTGGTTATCTCAACCAGGCCCTTGAAGATCTCAATGCTGTAAGACTTTTTTTTTTTTAAATTAGTAATGCAAGCTAAGATAAACATCACTAATACTGATTCTCATAAGATTTTATTCAGTGTTTGTTCATTATTAAATGGTTCATTTCAGAAATCATTATCCAAGCCAGAATAGAACATTCTGCTAATGCAAGCTGATTTTCCGCTTAGTTTGTCTTGTACTAATGATCGATCTGTTGTTTTTCTGTTTTTAAAGGCCATCTCCCTGGAGCCCCATTTACTGGATGCCTTCTGGCACAGGCACAGCATATACCTGCTGAGAAACGACCCCGATAGAGCTTTGGACGATCTAAACGTCATCGTTAAAAACAACAAGAAGCATGCAGGTGTGCGCACGAGTCTCCTTTCATTACCAGACAGCAGGAGAGACGAGATTCTGATTCAATAATAATGTCTGACTTCTGTATTGGACAAAACAGAACCTGTACGGTTAAAGGGCGTGTATAAAAATATAGACATACTCCAACGTTATAGCAATGCTAAGCTTCCCCCCTGTTCGCACAGACCAAAGTAAGTTCCTTCAGAGGTTATTATTGTTAAATAAACCTAAAATATTTTTGTTAATTGAAATAAAGCTAAAATAAAATATTAATATTAGATGAAAAAATGTCATTTACAGAAAATTTGAAATGCTGGCTTGACAACTGAAATAAGTTAACTAAACTTAAGTTAGGTTAGCACTAAACTTACTAAATGGAATGAAATGAAAAACTGAAATGAAAATAAATGAAACAAAATGTAGTATTAATATTAATTATAAAAATGTAAATAATACTAAAATAACACAGATTCAGAATTTGTCATGATCATGAAATCCATGAGCACATTAACATATGACTGCCCACATTATAATATGGCTACGTTCACATTGTCAGGTTTTACAGCTTTTGATTTACTACTGCATTGGCTTACTGGTGTTTCGAAAAGTCCCAGTAACACAGCAACTTACCGTAGTGTCTCGGATACTGTCTGTATGAACGTGGTACGGGAGTCGAGCCTGTATCCTCTGACCAGTATCCATAGCAACAGTATCAAACATGGCGACATCTATGAAACTGAAAAGTATTATCATTTTTGACACGACAAGAGTCCAACCAAGCTGCGAGTTCATAGTCAAATCTTCATTAAACGACTGCAGTTTTGAAAATGTACGCGTGTGAGTTTGGTTATAGAATATATTAACACTCCCATAAATAATTGAACTGTCTGTGACTGTGAACACAACCATATTAAGGACTCAAATACAGGACTGCCAACCGCATTCTGCTGCTGTGTGAATGTGGCCTATAAATTAGCAGTAATATAAGTTATTCAGTATTTGTCAGCCTAGCCCTGCAGCAAAAGCCCACAAAGGTAAAGGTCAGAGAAAGGATGTAAAGTGACCATGTAAAAGTAAATTATTATATTTTTTTGGTGCACAAAACTTTCTTCAGAACAAAGTGTTGAAGCTCATGACTAATGCCAATTGTGTTCCAGACGCCTTCATGTCTAAAGCAGAAATCTACAAACAAAGAGGGGAAACTGCACTGGCTGCATTCAGCTACACCCAAGTCATCAAAGTCAAGCCAGATGATGCAGAGATATACTTTAAAAGGGCAAAGATGTATGAGAAGATGGGCGAAGTACCGCTGGCCATGGAAGACTACGCCAAAGTAAGCCCTATGAATCAATATAAATACTGTAAATTTAAATTTACAGTAGGAAATACCAGTGCTTAGAAGGTGATGTTGATAGACCAATCACAATTGACTATGCAAATATTATTTACATTATTTTCTGCCAGGAAGATTTTGAGCATTAATTGTCACTAGTGTGGTAATTTACCTTGGTTACATTTGTCCTTATCTTCTGAGATTAAATAGTTTATCTACAATACTATAACTTTCAGAAGTCAAAACTTCTTTCATTCTCCAAATACCACAAATTAAAACTTAGCCTTAGAAACATCAATGAGTTATGAAATTTAAAGTGCATTTTTTATAGTGCAATACTTTTATCTTTAAAACACATTTACATTCCTGAAAAGCCTATTCAATGTCCAGAAATTTGACATAAAAAATAACACGAGGCTGGACAGTTGCATTTTCTTGATTTTTATCTGTTTTATGTTTTATTAATTAATTTATTTGTTTGTCATCCTTTTTATATTCTGACCTGTAAAGGACTTTTACACAGTATATGAAAGGTGCTGTACAAATTAATTGTATTATAAAATCATAATAAATATTATAAGTATTATTAAAATGTATTTTTATATTATTCTAAAGCATCTGAAGAATACCGTCAAGAGTTGTTAAACTGTTAAACAGCTGTTCCTGGCTGTGTGTAGCACCTGTGTTTCCTTTTTGCAGTCTGATATTCGCAGTTTTTCATTTCATATTGACACATTTCAGCATTAATTATTTTGTGAACCTTGTCAGAAAGTGATACAGGTTTCACAAAAGGCTGTTTTCAAAAGATGGGAGGGTTAAAATCACCCATAGGCAAGAGAACTGGAATTTGAAGGGGATGTTTCTTAAAAGCACAGCACAAAAAAAAAAAGAGCAGCTTAATGGTCTGTTTAATTCTAGGGGTCAGAGAGAAGGTGGAAAATGGTTTTGAAAAAAAAAAATAACTAAACTAAAAACACGAAAGCATTTGAGGTCTGTTCATTTGAGTCTGTTCATTATTTGTGCTTCAAGTACTGTTTTATGTATTATTGTATGCACACTTTAAGGGCTAAATTTGTCTTGGCGGACAGAATTAGTCAATTTTACTGTTTGCACTCTAAATATGAATAGTTCACAAATGAGCACTGGTATTGATGATTATAGACCGTTGTTCTAAATAGCTGCATAATTGCCTCAATGATTGCAGTATACATGAAACATGGGAGATTTCAAAATAAACCCTTTTTGACCTCCAGACCTTCACTATCGACTCAACAAGGACAGATGCAATGATGGCCCATGGAATACATCACTTCAACAGCTCCAAATGGATGGTGGCCTTGGAAGACTTTACCTTACTGCTAAAGCAAGAACCTGGGAATGCTATAGCCAGGTCAGTATTATTATGAGCATTATTTACAGGGGGGCACATAACTGGTGCCCATGTGTGGTTAAAAATAAACAAGCATCAGAAAACATGGAGGGAAGCTCTTCTGAGGACACGCTCAGAAAAAAAGGTAAAAAAGCTGTCACTGGGGCGGTTCCTTTTCAAAAGGTACACTTTTGTACCTAAAGGGTGCATATTGGCTACCTTCATGGTGCATATTTGTACAATTATGGTACCAATATGCACCCTTTAGGTACAAAAGTGTACCTTTTGAAAAGGAACCGCCCCAGTGACAGCTTTTGTACCTTTTTTCTGACAGTGTACCAACATTTCATGGTATGGCACACATGGGATTCGGGGACTAAATCCTCAGTTTAACCATCATGGAGTGAAAGTTTATCATTTGAACGTGTTTTGTCTTGCCAATTTACACATTCAAACGATTTTTAACGCAGAAGAAGAGACGAAAATCGGGACTTATGTGCTGTTATCTGTGCGCATAGACTTTTACACGCAAAAAGAGAGAGAAGCATTTCAGACAGCGCTCAAACACCAAATTGATTCGTCTTTCGCGTTTACTTGTGCTTGAACGGATACACAAAGTTAAGTGAACAGTTGAGAAAGAAACTGGATCTTTCTTCATCAGTGTATTTTAGTGTATTAAAGTGCAAGTTCACCTATTTTCAACCCATGTTGTTACAGTGTTAGTAGTACATGTAAAAAAACAATGTTTACTCTTTCACCATGTTACCTGGAATGAGAAATTACCATTTATTTTGTCAGCAAAAGTTTTGCATCATTTTGACAGCTCCGGGGCTTTTGTGAAAACTACAGATGGATAACACTTAGGCCCCGCCCACACTACTGCGTTTTCGTTTAAAAACGGAGAATTAAAACGAATACAATCTCCGTCCACACCAGCGCTTTATCTGCGTATTAGAAATGATCTCCGTCCACATTAAAACGACTGAAAACGTGGATCACTTGACCATTCACCAACACTGGGCATGCACGTGCCGGTGTAAACAGTGATTGACGAATCAGGGAAGGATACGTCATGACTGATAACGTCAGCCTCTGCGTCAGCGTTTCTGAACTCCTCCGTTTTGTCTCGTCCACACTAAAACGCCCTCCGGAGATTCAAAATGCAAAACGCAGCTGCAGCGTTTCTAAACTTCTCCGTTTAGGTCTTCGTTTTTCCCGTTTTAGTCTGGACGGGAGGTGCAAACATAGCAAAAGGTCTCCGTTTTTAAACGAAAACGCAGTAGTGTGGACAGGGCCTTACTGTAAGAGTTGACTTGGTTTTTTTTTTAAACTGAAAATGGCATCGTACTTTTTCTTCTCTTTAAAGTGGATTTTGCTAAAAATTAAACAATATGGCAACTGCCTTCTTACTTTTAGGTGACAGCATGAGCATTTGCTTCTGGGGGTTGGGCAGAAGATGCTCTCTGTTTGGACATTGTATTCGTACCAGTTTGAAATAGAGGATTTTCAAATGATCCATTGTAGTATTCTCTCTATATGTATGATTTTTGCAGCCTTTATTCACTGCCTACAATGCACTGAATCCTTCACTGGAGACCGAAAATAACTCACTCCTGTTAAACCTTTACTCTTTGAATTCCTGAACCCGGGAACAACACAAGTCAACAAAGTCATGGTCAAAAACTAAAAGTTTGCTGCGAAGTATTTCCTACTCAAGCAAGGTTATGTTTGACTCTGGTCGAGCTGAAGCGTTTTTAGTGGTGAATTACCCCTTTGTTTGCCACTAGATATAATTACCTTACATCTATGTTGATGTGTAAATCCAATTATATTGTTTTCACTCAATGCAGAACATACAGAGGAAGGATCTATTCCAAGCTGGGTCACTTTGAGAAGTCTATCGAGGACTTTTCTCTGGCTGTGCACTGGGATCCCAGTGATTGGTTGGCGTTTTACCACAGAGGCTGTCTGCTGAGGAAGATAATGCCTGTTGAGGCCTTAAGAGATCTCAGTACATCTGGTAATGCACTTGCTTGTTATATACTACATGAAAATGTTCACAGTTCTTTCACAGTTTCTCTATATAAAGATACTGTACCAACATTTTGAGAGCCTTGATGCAAACTGTTACCCATGGGCATTTTTAAGTTAAGTTCTGGCACTTTATGTTGAGAATACAGCAGGAAAGGCAATTTTACAAATGGTTTGTTCAACACTTAATTTAAATTTGAAATTTACACATTTTTTCCAGGAAGCCCATAGGAAAGAAAATCCATTTCTTTAATATCTCGGTTTCTTCTAAACAGCTCAGTTTTTCTCAGTAATTTAGATATGTGTCCCTTCTGGAGCCGAACAACAAAATATCTCAGGCTGTGCTCAGATTTGGCATGATTTGAAGTTTCCATTGAAAAGTCAACATTTCAAAATGAATATACACATTTCACACTTAAATTATCTGAACTATGCCATCCAGATCTATTTTATATTTCTATCTATTATAACTCAAACTGTATGTCAAAAAAAAAAAAAAAACATTTGGGAAACAACAGACAAAGCTGATAATGTCCAAATTTGGGCAGCCGGATGTTCATAGTCTCATATACATGCAGATTTCTGAATGACCCATTTTTTGTTTTTAGCCTAGATTTCATAAATAGTCTGGGGAGGGAAATCCTGTTTTCTGTGATATGTCTTTGATCTAAATCTTTAAATGAAGACTTTCTACACACAATTAAACACAATCAATTGGGCCATTCTTTTAACATCTCATCACAAACAGCTTCATCTGTTGAAGCAGTCATATGAGGATGTTGATATCACTACTCAACCAATTAGAGCCATGTATTTTGCAACTGTAATTTGCTTCTTTGATCTCTGAAGCCTGCAGGAATATTTTGTCCGTGTTGTCTCCTGCAAACTGAACAGCTTCATGAAGTGAAGTGTTCCACACTGCCTACCTAAGCACTTTGTGCAGTGTAACAGGATCGGATCGTAGGCGTGAGTAGAGTTTCGGCACTGAGCCTGTTTTTGCGACACATGGCATTCAGAAAATGCACTTTAAGCCAATTTATCAACACGATCTTCTGCAGTATATGAAGCAGTATAAAATAGCAAACCAGTTGTCAGGCTTGATGCAAGTTCCACATGTTGACAAACTAGCAGCACGTTGGATTCCATTCCATGTGGATTAATGACCATTTTGAAGTACAGTAAATGTAAATTTCAATGTTAATCAAGCTTGTAATCTCAAAGAGAAACTCCCAATAACTATAGACCCTTTTTCAGTTGGTAAACATGGTGACGTTTTTTTTTGTGGGCGGAGCTTAGGTGGAGGCAGAACGATCCCTCTGGCTGCTTCACTAACGCTAGTTAGCAAGTATTGTTAGCTTGTTTTTTAATAATGACTGGGGAAAATCCGATTTTATCTTAATGTGTAAGGTCACTCAGTGTCCAGGACCGTGATTGTTATTTCCAAAAGTTATTTTTAACGGACGGAATCAGATTGGCCGACCCGTAGCCGCCTACACGCTCACTCATGGACGATCTGACAGGATTAACGTTACTTTACCTCGGTTGAGTGGCCTGACTTCTACACCTACCTTATAGAGAAACCGATCGTAAAGAGAAACTGAGGGCATATATGTAAATCTTTAGATGCCTATATGTTCCTGTACAAGACTCGTGTGTACGATCCGCAGTTCTGCCGAGACGACGACAATGTAAAGAGTGACATTACGGTGCGATTTTAATGATGATAATATTTTCTAGAAATAAAAATTCTAGATACAGCATATTCATTTTTCATCAATTCTTGCACCAAACAACACAACAAGATGACATTTAATAATAGTAATAATAATTTAAGCTCCTTATTATGTAGCCAAATCTGGGCTGGTTTGTATTGGCCGCCTTCAGTTTTCACTTTGTTTTGCCTCCAGCTAGCGCCGTGACGTAACTGTGACGTCGGCGCAAAAGGGGTTTATATTGCATTTTATTGCAGTTATTAAAAGAAATACTCAAAACAGCAATCCATGAATCACTTTATTTTGTGTATAGAGCAGCGCAGTCTCATCCCATGACGTCATATAACTGACGTCTTGGGACGTCTTTTGACCATACGTCAACATCCGCCTTTTTAGGGTACCCTTAAACGTCGGTTACATGACGATCCCGGGCTGTCATACAACTGACGCTTTACAATTAACGTCAGTTAGGTTGACGGGGTAGGTTTAGGTCTGGGGTAGGGTTAGGATCCGATAACGTCATGTAACTGACGTTTAAGGGTACCCTAAAAAGGCAGATGTTGACGTATGGTCAAAAGACGTCCCACGACGTCAGTTATATGACGTCTTGGGATGAGACTGCGCTGCTCTATACACAAAATAAAGTGATTCATGGATTGCTGTTTTGAGTATTTCTTTTAATAACTGCAATAAAATGCAATATAAACCCCTTTTGCGCCGACGTCACAGTTACGTCACGGCGCTAGCTGGAGGCAAAACAAAGTGAAAACTGGAGGCGGCCAATACAAACCAGCCCAGATTTGGCTACATAATAAGGAGCCTAAATTATTATTACTATTATTAAATGTCATCTTGTTGTGTTGTTTGGTGCAAGAATTGATGAAAAATGAATATGCTGTATCTAGAATTTTTATTTCTAGAAAATATTATCATCATTAAAATTGCACCGTAATGTCACTCTTTACATTGTCGTCGTCTCGGCAGAACTGCGGATCGTACACACGAGTCTTGTACAGGAACATATAGGCATCTAAAGATTTACATATATGCCCTCAGTTTCTCTTTACGATCGGTTTCTCTATAAGGTAGGTGTAGAAGTCAGGCCACTCAACCGAGGTAAAGTAACGTTAATCCTGTCAGATCGTCCATGAGTGAGCGTGTAGGCGGCTACGGGTCGGCCAATCTGATTCCGTCCGTTAAAAATAACTTTTGGAAATAACAATCACGGTCCTGGACACTGAGTGACCTTACACATTAAGATAAAATCGGATTTTCCCCAGTCATTATTAAAAAACAAGCTAACAATACTTGCTAACTAGCGTTAGTGAAGCAGCCAGAGGGATCGTTCTGCCTCCACCTAAGCTCCGCCCACAAAAAAAAACGTCACCATGTTTACCAACTGAAAAAGGGTCTATAGTTATTGGGAGTTTCTCTTTGAGATTACAAGCTTGATTAACATTGAAATTTACATTTACTGTACTTCAAAATGGTCATTAATCCACATGGAATGGAATCCAACGTGCTGCTAGTTTGTCAACATGTGGAACTTGCATCAAGCCTGACAACTGGTTTGCTATTTTATACTGCTTCATATACTGCAGAAGATCGTGTTGATAAATTGGCTTAAAGTGCATTTTCTGAATGCCATGTGTCGCAAAAACAGGCTCAGTGCCGAAACTCTACTCACGCCTACGATCCGATCCTGTTACACTGCACAAAGTGCTTAGGTAGGCAGTGTGGAACACTTCACTTCATGAAGCTGTTCAGTTTGCAGGAGACAACACGGACAAAATATTCCTGCAGGCTTCAGAGATCAAAGAAGCAAATTACAGTTGCAAAATACATGGCTCTAATTGGTTGAGTAGTGATATCAACATCCTCATATGACTGCTTCAACAGATGAAGCTGTTTGTGATGAGATGTTAAAAGAATGGCCCAATTGATTGTGTTTAATTGTGTGTAGAAAGTCTTCATTTAAAGATTTAGATCAAAGACATATCACAGAAAACAGGATTTCCCTCCCCAGACTATTTATGAAATCTAGGCTAAAAACAAAAAAATGGGTCATTCAGAAATCTGCATGTATATGAGACTATGAACATCCGGCTGCCCAAATTTGGACATTATCAGCTTTGTCTGTTGTTTCCCAAATGTTTTTTTTTTTTTTTTTTTTGACATACAGTTTGAGTTATAATAGATAGAAATATAAAATAGATCTGGATGGCATAGTTCAGATAATTTAAGTGTGAAATGTGTATATTCATTTTGAAATGTTGACTTTTCAATGGAAACTTCAAATCATGCCAAATCTGAGCACAGCCTGAGATATTTTGTTGTTCGGCTCCAGAAGGGACACATATCTAAATTACTGAGAAAAACTGAGCTGTTTAGAAGAAACCGAGATATTAAAGAAATGGATTTTCTTTCCTATGGGCTTCCTGGAAAAAATGTGTAAATTTCAAATTTAAATTAAGTGTTGAACAAACCATTTGTAAAATTGCCTTTCCTGCTGTATTCTCAACATAAAGTGCCAGAACTTAACTTAAAAATGCCCATGGGTAACAGTTTGCATCAAGGCTCTCAAAATGTTGGTACAGTATCTTTATATAGAGAAACTGTGAAAGAACTGTGAACATTTTCATGTAGTATATAACAAGCAAGTGCATTACCAGATGTACTGAGATCTCTTAAGGCCTCAACAGGCATTATCTTCCTCAGCAGACAGCCTCTGTGGTAAAACGCCAACCAATCACTGGGATCCCAGTGCACAGCCAGAGAAAAGTCCTCGATAGACTTCTCAAAGTGACCCAGCTTGGAATAGATCCTTCCTCTGTATGTTCTGCATTGAGTGAAAACAATATAATTGGATTTACACATCAACATAGATGTAAGGTAATTATATCTAGTGGCAAACAAAGGGGTAATTCACCACTAAAAACGCTTCAGCTCGACCAGAGTCAAACATAACCTTGCTTGAGTAGGAAATACTTCGCAGCAAACTTTTAGTTTTTGACCATGACTTTGTTGACTTGTGTTGTTCCCGGGTTCAGGAATTCAAAGAGTAAAGGTTTAACAGGAGTGAGTTATTTTCGGTCTCCAGTGAAGGATTCAGTGCATTGTAGGCAGTGAATAAAGGCTGCAAAAATCATACATATAGAGAGAATACTACAATGGATCATTTGAAAATCCTCTATTTCAAACTGGTACGAATACAATGTCCAAACAGAGAGCATCTTCTGCCCAACCCCCAGAAGCAAATGCTCATGCTGTCACCTAA